AATATTGTCGGCAGATGTGTCAGTAAGCGAACGAACTTATAATAAAAATTTTAAGGAGTATGGCACATTTTCACGAAAGTGTCGCGAATGAGCTTTGCTTTATTACCTCTTAGAAAACTGAATATAAGCTCCTTTTTTTGTGTACATATGTATATCCTCGTCATAGTGTGGTTGCTTTGATTTATTGCAGAGTGTCAATGTGAGGGTATCAATGTCATTGGATGCATTCGTGACAAAATGCTCATCGGGGCCCGCATACAATTATGCACAATGAGATTGACGTCAATGTCAGCGTACACATACCTACCCACCCTTTTGAAACATCGGATACTAGCTGGATTGAAGACTGTCGATTGGAAGAAAAAATGGAAAGGGCCGAATATGCAGTCGAGGCTCAAGGCGAGTCACACAGACGAGCGTTACTTGTTTTTAAAGTTTGTTAAATATTTCTTGTAAATTGTTTTTTAATAGGATGTCGTTGTTTGATGTTGCTGTTTGAATATAACGTTGCAGAAGTATAACTGCATATTCTTGAGTTTTGGGAATGTTGGTGATGTTGTGTATATATTCGACGGATGTATATATGGGTAATCCTAATGCAGCACGAATGGCTTTGTTTTGCATAATTTGCAGTCTTTCCCATGTTTTATCATTTGCTGTAAGGAGAATTGGATGACCGTAGTCCCTTTCTCTGCTCTTGTTATTCACCTTATTAACGAAGAGAAGTGTACGTTGAGTGATTTAAGAGAAAAACTCATTTCGAAACATGAATTTGTACAATAAACGTTATTTTTTATTATCATTTTTCTTTCTTTTTCGATTATGTTCACTTTCAACTCTGACAAATAGAATGTCGCATCTGTACTTTTTAAAATTTTACTACATGTTTTATTTATGTAGAATAATGTAAATAATCTTATTTTTAATTAGAATATTCTATAACATGAATTAGTAATATGAACTTGTTGGTGTAAGAGTAGAAACTGGGTTACATGAACACTATCGTTTCTATTATCATTATAATGAAAGACAATAATGGATCATAAAACAATGATTTATCACAAAAAACAGAATCAACGAATGATATCGATGATTTATCGTGTTTCAGCTCATGACTACCGTTCCAATACATTGAAAATTAATTGTCGATCTTTTGGGAATTTCAAGGAGATGACATATGCCATGCAAGTATAGGGTATATTTTCTCTTTAGTTTTACAAAAAGTAGATTCAAGAGGTAAGTTCATTAACTTGTAAAACGCTTTTGAGTCGAAAATATATGAATCATATAGATACCAATAAGCTATGAAATAAACTGAAAAGAGTTCGTGTTCTTAGCCTATTGTTTTCAAGATACTTCCTTTTTATGGTATGTTTGATGTCAATAACGTTATCTCCTTCAGTAACACAGGATAAACTAAGGCATTTTCGAAGTTCAACGTGAAACTTTACACAGAGACGTGCATGTGTCTATGCAAAGTTTCACGTTGAAATTCGAAAATGAGTGCTTCTTGTGTTCTTGAGGAAGATCACGTGATTGACTTAAAAAATACTATAAAAATGAAGTATGTTGGCAGCAATAAGCTAAGGATAGAAATTCTTTTCAGGTCATTCATAGCTCACATGTGTCTACATAATTCACTTAGTCTCAACTCAAAATTGATTTATGATTTGGTGAACTTTCTTTACCAATCATTACATAAAGATGAAGAAAAAGAAATAAATAAATGATCCCTGCGCAAGAAATGCTCAACAGAAATAAAGATTACACTTTGCGTGCCTCCAGTAGAGTCAAACTTGAATGTTGAATCCAATTATAGAACTACAATTTAAGTATTTAATTATTGAACTCTTCTGTTCAAATATTCTATTGTTTGACTTTTTAATTCAACTATTCAATTCAAATGTTTAAGTGTTCAACTATATACATTGACAGAGATGTGTGTGTTTCTTCGACACTCACGTTAAGAGTTTAATCGTCAAGTTGAATACTTGATATTTAAATTTTCAAGTTTCAAGTATTCACTAATTGGATTCAACTTTTAAGATTCATAAATATGTTTAACTAATGGTAGGGTGTGGCTGTGTGTGTTGGTTGATCTAAAAGAAAGACCCAAAAATCACACCCACATCCTACCACACCATCTTATTCGTCATGATGCTCGTAAGAAAATCGTGAAATATAAAATATGCGCAAAACCTCAAAACTTGTTTCAATTCTATCCAGAGACAGATACGGTCCGTGTTCTCCAACACTTCACAGGAGAATTCAAATGAGCTAATATTTGCGATTGACACTGTAGCTATGTAGGCCTTTCGTTTAAGCCGCTAGAATGAAAAGTTTTCCTCATTAGATGTACAAGAAGATTGATGGGTCCTATGACAAAGTCCCTCTGAAATAGAAAATAGTTTCTACATGTAGAAGGAGCTTGAGTGTCCGGTTAGAAATTCATTTAGACCAATACCGACATGAGATGTGTCTTCTCAATTAAGTCGAAATGAAATAATGGTTTAGTTCATATACTAATGAATGGTCAGCTTGGAGTTGTGAATAGTTATGATGATTTATTGATAGGATTGCACACTTATATAAAAAAAATGTTATAGATATTTGTTACTGCCGACTATTAATAAGCAATCTTGTGTATTGTATCAAGGAAAAAACTGCCGTGTCACATAAATCGAAAATTTTTGTTAATCTGTCAATTCCGACAAGAAATGGCATCATCATTGATGATCTTACTTAACCAAATTCGAGTGAATCTCGCTCGTTATGAACTTCCATTCATTTTTGCTTTTAGTAATTTGACTAATATTGCGAATATCATCGTTTTTCGTCGTCATGCTCTCAAAATCAATATCTGCTCATGGTACTTTGTCTGCTTGTCTTTCAATAATCTTCTCACATTATATGTGATCGGTCTTTCACAAATCTCAGGCGCAGCGGCTGGTGACGATATAGTAAAAGCGAATCGTTTCTTTTGCAAACTACGTGGATATTTTTTCGAACTTAGTGTGATTCTATCTCGTCATTTCATATGTTTAATTGCAATTGATCGCTGGATGATTGCATCATCTAGTGCATGGCTTCGTCGACAGAGTTCACCGAGGAGAGCACGAGCAACAATCATTGGCAGCTTAATCTTTTGGTCAATCTTCAACATTCACAGTTTGATCGGTTACAACACTGATCAATTTGGATGTATACCCACTGCATATCCCGTCTATGGACTTTTTTATTCCATATATAGTATCATCACATCAATTTTTCCGCTTGTAAATCGTGTATACGTCTTATAAAAGCAATTTATATATTTATTTATTTCTAGATCGTCATGGTTCTTTTCAGTGTTCTTACTTTATTCAATGTTCGGTCATCACCTGCTCGACAAGTTTATCCGTATCCGTTGCAAACAAATCATATCCAATCATATCGTACGCAACGTACGATGTACATCATTTCTCAAGCATCTAATCATCACCAAAACCGACAATGTCAGTTTATTCGATTAGCTCTTCTACAAGTCGCCTTTTTTATTGTATTCAACTTAACATGGTCGACTTTTCCATTTTACGCATTGCTTATCTATCAACGAAAAACTATCAGTATTGATCAAATTTTGTTCATGGGATTTTGGAGCGGAATCGGATTGAATCTTCTATCAACATACGCAGCAGTCTGTATTTTCGCTTCTTACGGTCACCCATTTTTATTTCCTTGGTTTTTAGGTCACATTTGTAGTATATACATTGGCTTCAAAAAAATTTCGCCGAGAGCTAATCTCAACAATCAAACAAATTCGGAACATTATTAATCGGCATCTTCAAAACTTTCTATGAGTAGTTCGATAATTATTATTGGCATAACAAATGGTTACACCTTGTTTGTTGATGTCAAAACTACGTAGTACACTCAAAGAGAAGATGGGGTATGAAACTGTTAAGGTTTGAAATAACTGTGTGAAACATTTTTAGACTTTGTAGACTGCTACATAGTAGTATGCTTTTCCCCTTTTCTTTGTCACTCATGTTATTTTCTTATAATTTTTTATATGTGTGATGGATTTTTTTCTCTTCTTCTATTGATTATCCTCTCTACTTTTGTTAATATTGCATAGATGATTATCTCTTCTCCTTTATCATCATTTATGAAATATTCCTTTCTATAGATTTTCTCCATTGTTCTCTATAAAGACAAAAATTATAGCATTACTAAATAAAAATAGAAAACAAAAATTAGGGAAGATGCAAAAGAAGAACATCGACCATTCTAAGTAAAATTTCAACAAATGAAGATCAACCTGCATTAAGATCTAATCCTGAATCAATAAAAAATTTTCCTAACTATTGAATTTTATAAGAGTTAGTGTTTACAGATTATTGCACATACGACTATTTTTATTAAGATTATTTTCAATCTATTGATATTACAGTTTTTTTTATCAA